AAAACCGTTTGTTAATTCGACTTTATGTCATGTCATGTCATGTGTTGACAAACACAATTCGCGCTAATACTAAATTATTATTAGGTATTATTATTAGTATTATTAGGTTCTGTCCAATACTAAACGATTTTATTTATAAACAATTAAAATGCAACACAAAAATGTTGATTCTATGGAGTTTAAATTACAATTGATTGAGTTGTGTTCGGGAGCACAGGTGCCTCTTCGATATTAACGACCCCCAGTTATAAGGACATTTATTTGAAAGAGAAATTGTGGTCGTCTATAGCAAAGAATTAAATGAAAAAGTAAGTAAAAATCCAAATCTAAAAATAACAATACGTTATTCTAGGTTATGATAAAAATATTTCATTTACTTTTATCCAGCCACAATACTGTGAAACGCAAGTGGAAAGCTTTAAGGGACGGTTACACCAAATATAAAAAGCTATTAAGATCAGCACATGGAAAATCCATCAAGTATTCATGGAGTTCACATCTATCTTTCCTTGATTGCAATGCAGACAATCAAGATGATCCTTTGAACTCTTGTATGGTTGTTGAAGAACCCTTCTAGTATTTCCGATACACCAGAATTTATACGAACTTTCACACATTTCACCTAACATGTTAGAAGATATACCTGAAATAATTGATGACTCAAATTCAGATACTGAACCTGCACAAGGTGAATATGATAATCCTTCTAAAAAACAAAAAATTGAGGAACAATTTGAAGTATTAGGACCTGTTCAGAATGCGGATGCCATGCAAAATACAAATGACAGGTGATTATTTATTTTTAAGTTATGCTCAAGCATTTAAAAACTTTTCTCTTAAGAAGCAGGCAATTCTTAAAGTTGATATAGCATCTTTGTTTTCCGAAGCAGAGTTATGCGAATTAAGTAGAAAAACAGATAAAACTTGACCAGGAGTAAATAAATTGAATTGTAAAGGAAATGTGATAAAATTGTGGCTATTATGTTAATTTGGTATCGAATTATTTAATACTTTGGCAATGCACATAGGGATGCTTTAAGTTGTTGTTAAATATGTGAACTATATGCTTAGTTTATTTATTAAAGATTTTCTCCATAAATGTATAAATATTAAGCATGTGACTAATTAAACATATGAGGCTAATATTAGAAAATGTGCTCAGAAATCGTTGAAGAGATAAATTGATACATTTGTGTAATTATTGGATATTTAATTTAATTTTAAATATATTTTATTAAAAATTACCAGTTTTTACATGTTTAAAATTGATAATGTTAGTAATATATATTATGAATCATAATATTAATTAATATAATATATGACTGGTTTTAAACACTATATTAGATGGTAAAAATATAGCTTAACATTTTTTAATATATTTTTTAGTGAATGTACTGATGATATTCAGTGAGTGTTTGTTTAATAATGTTTTAGTTTCAAGTTTATAAAAGGGGCATATCTAATCACCAGAGCTAGAAAAGATTTATAAATAACAAATTGAATAATTTTTTGACAAAGTCTTTTAAAACAATAAAAGGGGTGATATCATATAATCTTATAATTTACTACTTAGAGAAATACACTAAACTAATTACACAATTCAAGCAATTGATGATTTAAATATTGAATTACATATATAGTGTCCCATATGATTAAAATAATAGAATAAATTAAAAATTAAAAACTATGTGTATAGTTGCTGAATTTTAGTATCGAATGAAGAGCTCTTATAACTATTGTGGAGAAACACACAAGTTACTTTATTATATGTTTATCCTATATTTTTTATATAACAAGCCTATTTTATATATAATTTACATATAACATATGCTAACATTATTTTTTTTTATTATTTAAAAAGGATCAGAGCGGGAACTGTCAAGGACCTCTACCAACTGTCAGTTGTCAAGCCTCCATTTTTTATCCTCTGGCAACACTCTGAAGTTGTGTATGTGTTAATGGCTTGTGTCAAATCATTGTCAAACCGACGCGACAGCGAAAACATCAACATGATGTAAATTCTTATCGCCATGTCAGTTGTGAACGTTTGTGACGCGATATTCTGTTGTGTTTTAATATATAATTGTAGTGTAGTGTGCTAGCGACCTGTTATTATTGTGATAAACATAAATCATGGATGATTTAGGTAAGTGCTAGTCTAGATATCATAACCTTGAAAATTTGGTTTACTACCCCTCGAAAATGTTAATATTCTGCACCCACAAGCATTATTTAATATTTTCGTGTTTATTGAGTATATATCTTTAAATACTTAGGTATTCATACAATTTCAGATTCACAAAACAATTTATAACTATTGTTTTGACTATGTCAAAATACCACCCCATCGCTACAAACAAAAATCTAAACACAAAAAATATTACTAAAACACAAAAAAAATTAAATTATTGTAAAAATCAACATAAAACATTTCTTAATTATTAAATATGTCTGAAAACGTAAATATGGATGAATTTCTACCACACATCGTGAACGATATGGATGGCCAGCTATGTTCGAATTAACACCTAAGTAGTAATAAATTTTCAATTAAAATGGAGATTTATTCTATATGTTTATGTCAAGGGCATAAAAAAAAACACGGTTCACGTAGAAAGTTATTTATGGTTTTTGTATACAAGCCACGTAAGTTTTACATTGAACTTCTGTAAACAATCTTACGTGGAATCAATAATATATTTCTTTCAAAAACCATAATATGATTGAAATTTGCTTTGTACTTATGAAGTCCTAGATTTGATTGTTTTTAGATTCCTTCAAATTCTGTTGATCCTTGTCACTTGACAATTTCAACTATCAATGAGATTTTTAAATACAAATTAAATATTTTTATTTCCTCGAGTCTGTGAATTTTTTCCCTATTACCATTCTCCAGGCCATGTCAGCCGCCAAAAAGAGTACTCCCAAGGGTCCTCATGCGCCGCCAAATGGAACCATGGTGCCATTGCGACCGCCATGCTTACGACCCCATGATGGACCATTACCGCCATTTGGCAGAACGTGAAAAGCGCCTTTTCGAAGATTTGGTCACCTTAAGTGGCCAAATGTCCGTTCTCGCAGGCGATATCCTGGATCATCCTTGTGACAATGATGATCCTAAAATGAAGAGTATCTATCAGATCGATTACGCAAAGAGATCCTATCCTGTTATGAGTTACAGAAGTCTGGTGACAGCTATAGATTCTCCGGTGGGTGTTCCTGTTAAGCCTTATGGAGTTGGGTTGAATGATGGTTATAGGGATCCTACTCGGTTCCGTTTGTCGGCAATTCCTGTGCCTAAGATAGATTCTCCGCCGAAAATCACTTTGGCATCAAAACCAGCATCGGTTGCTGAATACCATATAGATTTTCCAGGAGCTACAGAGTATATGGACACGATTGGTAAATTGGGGAGGACGTGCCAACTTGCTAGGCAACAGTATACAGAGCCTTTACCGAGCACGAGGAGAGACATTTGGATCCATGCTTGTAAAATGACTCATAAATCGATTTGGAAGTTGTTTGCAAAATATTTTGCTGGGAGAATATCATCACTTTGCAACATATCTTCAAAATATTACTATACCAAAATGAGATTTACCAGTATATGAGATTGCAAAGTGATTTGAGTTTAACAAAAAAAGTACAGTAATATTTCTTATTATCGAACTGAGTATAAATATTTTCTCAGTGCCTAGGATAGATTTACCGCCGAAAATCACTTTCGTATCAAAACCAGGTCGGTTGCTGAATACCCATATAGATGTTCCAGGAGCTACAGAGTATATGGACACGATTGTAAATGGGAAGGACGTGCCAACTGTAGTATGGAGCCTTTGCCGAGCACGAGGAGGAAACATTTGGATCCATGCTTGTAAAATGACTCATAATTCGATTTGGAAGTTGTTTGCACAACCAATTTTACTGGGAGAATTATCATCACTTTGCAATATATCTTCAAACATATTACTACTACCAAAATGAGATTTACCAGTATATGAAGATTGTAAAGTGATTTGAGTCCAACAAAATAAAGTACAGGAATATTTCTTATTATCGAACTGAGTATAAATATTTTCTCAGTGCCCAGGATAGATTTACCGCCGAAAATCACTTTGGCATCAAAACCAGCATCGGTTGCTGAATACCATATAGATTTTCCAGGAGCTACAGAATATATGGACACCATTGGTAAATTGGGAAGGACAAGCCAACTTGCTAGGCAAGAGTATACGGAGCCTTTGCCGAGGAGGAAACATTTGGATCCATGCTTGTAAAATGACTCATAATTCGATTTGAAAGTTGTTTGCAAAACCAATTTGCAAACCAATTTGCTAACCAATTTGCAAATCACTTTGCATTATATCTTCAACCATATTACTACTACCAAAATGAGATTTACCAGTATATGAAGATTGTAAAGTGATTTGAGTCCAACAAAATAAAGTACAGGAATATTTCTTATTATCGAACCGAGGATAAATATTTTCTCATCCATTCATTAAACAAGAAATATAAATATTACTCTTGGCCTTGTAATATCGGACGCAATCTATTGAGATGAAGGCGTGACACTTGATGTTGTAAAACATACGCGGGCAGCATTACATATATGGTCGCAACAATCAATTCATGACGTATCATTCAAGGTACATTTTTAAATAAGATTTATCAATGAAAAAACTTCCGTTTTGTAACTGGAAAAGATGTATAGAAAATGGAATAAACTGTAACTGGGAAATGTCATATGAAAAAAATTATTGTAATTGTTTATTGATATAATAAATTTCTAATTTTTGTTTTTCTCCATGATTCTTTCTGCCATGACTTCAGTTTTTTTGCTGTAATTTTTGCAAACTTCTTGTTTTCTTCTACTTCTGCAAACTTCTATTTGTTCTTAATAAAGTAGATAGTTTCAGTCTTCGTATTTCTAAAATAGTGTTTCTCATTTTTCCTAATTATTCATAGTAAAATATAATCAATTTCTATTCCAAGGCTCTTCGTGATTTTATTGCTTAATTTTATCCTTTGCAAAATTTTCAAGCCATTGTTAGGGTATTTTTCAAATATTCTCATTTTTTTCATATGATTAAGAGAGGAACCATGTAAGGTTCTTTTGTAATCAAATAAACTCAACAGGATACTCACTCTGGAAACTTTTTTGTTGAAGATTTTGTTTTCAGATGGTTGATGTTACCTTTTCACCAGTTTACCAATCATCTTCTTTATTTTTCTCCTATTTGTGAAACTAATCCTTTTAAGATCTAGTCTTCAGATGGTTGCTGTTACTTTTTCACCAATCTACCAACCATCTTCTCTATTTTTCTCCTATTTATGAAAACTAAACATTTTTAAGAGAATCATTTTATTGTTATGTGTTGGTTTAGTTTTCATTTCACTCTGGAAACTTTTTTGCCAAAGATCTTGTCTTCAGATGGTTGTTGTTACTTTTTCACCAATCTACCAATCATCTTCTTTATTTTCCTCCTATTTATGGAAACTAATCCTTTTTAAGAAAATTATTTTATTGCTGTCTTATTTTAAATCTCATTTCACTATGCAAACTTTTTTGCCAAAGATCTTGTCTTCAGATGGTAGTTGTTATTTTTTTCACTAATCTACCAATCATCTTTATTTTCCTCCTATTTATGAAAACTAATCCTTTTTAAGAGAATCATTTTATTATGTCTTATTTTAGCTCTCATTTCACCCTGGAAACTTTTTTGCCAAAGATCTTGTCTTCAGATGGTTGCTGTTAGTTTATTCACCACTCTACCAATCCTTATTTTTTCCTCCAATTAATGCAATATTTTTTTTAGGAAAATCCTTTTTTGAGATGTCCTACTTTTGTTCACATTACACCCTGGAAACTAAATTTTTGCTAATGATTCCTTGACTTCAGATGTTTTTCAGCAATTTGCCTATCATAGTATTTATTTTCCTTTTGGTCCAAATAATTTTACTTAAAAAATTAATCGTTACTGCCTCATTACTTAAACAAATCTTTTCAGATCTATCTTTTTAATAATAAAATATGTGTAAAATTGTTTTCCCATATATTTGTGACTTTATAGGATAATATTATCCTTTCCAACATCTCCAAATCTCTACTAGAAATTGTGAGGGTTCTCCAAATGTGTTTTCTCATTCCTAAATATTTACATTTTGGTAAACACACTTCTTTTAACACTTTTCTTACAAATCTACCAATCATATTCCTTATTACCTCAAATGTATGCATTTTTTTAAAAAGAAAATTATTTTCTTGTAATGTCTTACTCTGGAAACTGGAAACTTCTTTGCTAATGAGTTCCTTGACTTCAGATATTTGCTGTTTTTCAGCAATTTGGCAATCATAGTATTTATTATCCTTTTGGTCAAAATATTTTTGTTTAACAAAATGGATCATTACAGTCTCATTCCTTAAAGAAATCTTTTCAGATCTTCTATCTTTTTAGTAATAAAATATAACCAATTTGTTTCCCCAAATATTTGTGACTTTATAGGATAATATTGTCCCTTCCAACATCTCCAAATCTCTACCAGAAATTGTGAGGGTTCTCCAAATGTGTGTTCTCATTCTTAAATATTTACATTTTGGTAAACACACTTCTTTTAACACGTCTAAAAGAAAGAAACAATATGAGCTTCTTGTTTAATCAAATAAATAATGTATTTTTAAATAAATATTATACAAACACAGCAATTAATAGAACTCTATGAGCTATAAAATTACAATATGCATAAATAAATATAAAACTGAAGGAAGAAATGGTAAAAATTGCTCCAATGATCAATTGACTGTTTGTCATCAATTGTTCAAGTTTCTTATTGAGTCTCCTTTTTAATGGAGAAATTTTTTTTCTTAAGACCTTAACAAATATGTTGTAAAAACTTCAATCACCATTCCAAATAAATTTTAATATAATTCTCCAAATTGAAATCAATTTCAATCCTCGGTATAAAAATTGTTGTTATATTATTTTAACCTTGGCGATTGCCTTGAGTTTGTTTTTATCAAATATTTTGCATTGTTGCTTGACAAATTAATAACAAAGTGATAACGATTGTTAATTGGTTGATAGCAATAAATTGTAGGGAATATAAACTTTTTTTTTGCTTAAGAATGAATTAAGGAAATTTGGT